ATGTGCAGCAGTAACATATTTTATAGAATTTCAAGCCTGCTCTGCTGTCAAGGAATGGATTTTTTTTTAACTTAATCTTTTAGCAAATTTACATTTATGGCATCAATTTCCTAATATTCAATGAAGCTTCTTTCTTCTTTAGATTTAGTGTTAAAATGTGACCTTTATTCTCCACTCAATTTGGGGTTATCTTTCGTAACAGACAAGACATTATATTTCTCCAGAGGCCAAAAATATCCAAGCAAACATCAAATACAACAACAACAAAAAACAACATTTTTAAAAAAAGGAGGGGGATATTGAATTATGAATACTGAAGAAAAAAAACAGGAAAATCCTTTTCAAAACGTACGTCATAGATTGGTGAAATGTTCCAGTGTTAGATATCTTCAATGATCGACACAAATGTCCAGTCAGCTCAGCACATGTGAGCGTGTAGCCACTGCGTTTGAGTCAGGTGAAAGAAATGTAATCACACACACTTAGTTTTGTATACGTGTGTGTGTGTGTTGTGTGTGTCTCGGTCTGACTGTGTAGTGTTTAGGAGTCGTCTCCGTTGGCGCTGTCCCCGTCGTCCTCTCCTTCTCCTCCTCCTCCTCCTCCTCGTCCTCATCCTGCCCTCTGCTTTTCATCTGAGAAGTCCAAACATCACTCATTAGTCTTTAATCACTCGACACAAAAAGATATTTGAATATAGTTTTTGACGTATAAAGAGCAGAAGGTTTCAGATTACTGCCCACAAGAAAAGAGGATTCTGGGATATTATCTTTCTGGCACTTATGGACATAACGGACTCACTCATCAAACTCTTTTTAAATTATTTCTGGGCTTTTTATGCCCTATCCTTAGAGACAGGACAGTTTTATAGTCAGCACCGAGAGTAGAGAGAGACGAGAGAGAGTGGGAATGACATGCAGGAGGGGCTAAAGGTCGGATTCGAACCTGGGCCGCCCGCCTCGAGGACCACTGCCTCTGCACGGGGGCGCGCACACCAACCGCTTAGGCCACCGGCACACCTCAATCTGCAAATTAATCAAAAGACTGAAAACTACTACAAACAACCAGTTTGGTAAAAAAATCACCTGTTATGGGCATAGTGGCCTAGTGGTTAGTTTGCACTCCTCCATGTACAAAGGCTGAAGTCCTTCTCTCTCTCTTCCCATTTCCTACTCATAAAGGCATAAAAGCCCCTCCCCTCAACAAAAAACCCTGTTATCTGGACTCCTCTCCCGCTCCTCACCTCGTCCTCGTCCTCCTGCTCCTCCTCTTCCTCCTCCTCCTCTTCCTCCTCCTCCTCCCCTCCTCTCCTCCTCCTGTCCCCCTCCCTCCTTCTCATCCTCCCCTCCCCTCCTCTTCCTCCTCATCTCCTCCTCCTCTTCCTCTTCCTCCTCCGCCTCCTCCCCTCCTCTTCCTCCTCCTCCTCCTCCTCTTCCTCCTCCTCCCTCTCCTTTCCTCCGTCTCCTCTCCTCTCCTCCTCCTCCTGCTCCCCCTCCTCTTCCTCCTCCTCCGCCTCCTCCTCTTCTCTCCCCCTCCTCCTCTGTCTCCTCCCCTCCTCTTCCTCCTCCTTCTCCTCCTCCTCTTCCTCCTCCCCCTCCTGCTCCCCCTCACCCTCCTCCTCTTCCTCCTCCTCCCTCTCCTCATCTTCCTCCTCCGCCTCCTCTTTTTCCTCCTCCTCCTCTTCCTCCTCCCCCTCCTCTTCCTCTCATCCTCCTCCTCCGTCTCCTCTTCCTCCTCCTCCTCCTCCTCCTCTTCCTCCTCCCCTCCTGCTCCCCTTCACCCTCCTCCTCTTCCTCCTCCTCCCTTTCCCCTCCCCCCCTCATTCTCCTCCTCCCCCTCGCCCTCCCCCCCCCCCTCCTCTTCCTCTCCTCCCCCTCCTCCTCCCCCCCATCCTCCTCCTCTTCCTCCTCCTCCCCCTCCTCCTCCTCTTCCCTCCTTCTCCTCCTCTCTTCCTCCTCCTCTTCCTCCTCTTCCTCCTCCTCTTCCTCCTCCTCCTCCTCCTCCTCTTCCTTTTCTTCTTCCTCCTCTTCCCCCTCCTCTTCCTCCTCTTCCTCCTCACCCTCCTCCTCCTCCTCCTCCTCTTCCATTCATGTATTATCAGGAACTTTGTTTCAAAATGTGCAACCCTCGTCGGACACTGTAGTCGTGACCCTCGAGTCTCTTCCTCTTCATTTCTGCCCCTGTTAGAAAAGTCTTACAGGAAACCCCTAAAATCTGATCTGCATTTGAACCCCCTCACTGATCCTCACCTGACTTCTTGCCGTGGTCCTTCTCCATGCGCTCCAGGCTCTCCAGCAGGTAGTCCACCTTGTGTTTGATCTGCGTCAGCTCTCTCTTTATGGCCTGCAGGTCGTCGCTCTTCACTGCTGTGGTGGGGGGGAAACGCAGGAGAGAGAAGTATTTAGGGGCGAGTAGAGTGAAGCTGTGTGAACGTGACACGAGCCGTGATACTCACCATTCCTGGACGTCCTCTGGCTGTTCTTTGAGGAGGAGAAGCTGGTTTTGGTCCGTCGGCTGCCCCCTCCGCTTAGACTGACCCGCGGGCGCTTCGAGGGGACGACGGCTCGGGACAGAGGGGGAGGAGGGAGGGGAGGTACCCGGGCCTGATAGGAGTACATCCTGACATACAAATACACATAAGTAAGAACTTCAGAAACACGAGAAAATACAAAAAAAGAGAAAAAGAGAATATTTACCGATCATAGTAATCTCTTTGAAAGTCATACTCCAGATCAATAGATGGACTGAGGAGAGAGCAGAGACAGGGTAGCAACATTAACAACAGCATTATTATGAAGCATCACAAAGTCTGTCTGAGTGCTTGAATGTTTTGGTTTCAAACGTCATGAACGCACACACACCTGTACATGTCTCCTGCAGCTCGCTTGGCTGTCTTCGATCTGTGAGGTTTGGGCTCGTTGGCAAGGTTGATATCTGAAGGAGGGGAGAAAAAGAGAATCATGTCAGTAAGCTAAATGTTGAATTTTTTGCTCTCAGAAAATGTCCAGTGACAGTGTATGTGTGTGTGTGAGCTCCTTCATATACTGATCCATTGACTCCACCTCACTGGGCATTGTTCCAGTGATTACACTTCAGGAGCACGTTCACTGTACTCACTTTAATTATATCTTTGTTGATTAAGCTACAGTCATGCATCCATTCAATATAAAGGTATGGCCTATAACATGAGACTGAATGTTACAGGATGTAAAAGGTCACCTGGTTTTGTTTTTTAGCCGTTAGCCTTAGCCATGATTTGATGCATGTTTTCACCCTGATCGAGACATTTTAGATATTTGTTTCCTCTTTGGTAGCAGGTTGCAGTCATTATTATTAATGAATAAGATGACCCTGGGATTTAAATTCAGAGGGGATAGGAGCTGTAGGGAGGGCTCTCTTTATGTTAACACAAGGTTGGCAGGCAGAATTTTAAAGAACAGGTAAATGACATGAGGTTACACCTTGTTGTACAGTAGGCGGTGGCACCTTCAAGGCGTTATCATATTTATTAGTTTTCCTGAAGACTTGGTTTACTTTTGAATCCATCAAAACCTGAAAATGAAATCCTACAAGCAGGGTCCGAACTTAACACCTGCCAAGCGCCACCACGCGCACCTGTTTACTTCTAGTGCTTCAGCAAACAGTTGATCGGTGATCCGTACGGACCGAGTCAAGAAAACACGTGATCCGGTCGACTATTCTCCGTTCACTCTCACCGTGTCTGCAGCTAACTTAGCGATAGCAACGTCATAAGTCTGTGAACATCTCCACACAGACTCTGTGAAACAGCGCTGCGTTACAAACACTTTAGATATGCTAGCGGACGCTAAATGCACGCTCCACTTTTCTCTTCTGTCACGTGCAGCAGGAGCAGTCAGAGATATACACACATCCAATCATTTTTTATTTTTTTTTCCTCTTTCAATTTTTATTGAGCATCATCAGATCAAAATTTCAAATGATTTGTTACTGGATACTTTTTTTATTTTTTATTTTTTTATTAGGTGCAATAAAGTGACAAACTGGTGATATACAAATGAGGCACAAAAAAAACAAACAGACAAGGTCAGGACAACGGCTCCAAAATACAGTAAAATAAAAAATAAAAAAATAAGACAAATAAAGACAGCAAAATAAGACATCAATAGACACACATCATACTACGAACAGAAAAACTACAAAATTATATGAAATACCTGAGAAAGGATAGAAAAAGTGAAGGAAGAGAGAGAGTGAGAGAGAGAGAGAAGTGGAGGGAGAGAAGTGGAGGGAGAGAAGGTGCTTAGTAAGGGGGACTTGAGAGGTGGAGCAGTGGTATGTGTTGAATATGTTGATGTTAAGCAATGTTGTGGTGTGAGAAGTGAGATTTTGTGTAATGATTAAGTTTTAGCGGAAGTTGACTGCAGCCGGGGTTTTGGGGTTGGTTTGAGAAAAAATAAAAGTGTATGAAAATGCAGTCACTTATAAAGTGTGTGTGTGTGTGTGTGTGTGTGTGTGTGTGTGTGTGTGTGTGTGTGTGTGTGTGTTGGGTGTGATTGGTGCACAGGAAGAAAGAGTTGATGGGTGGGATGTTGTGGGGGTAGTTATGAGTTGAGGTTGTTGATTATTGGGTTCCAGACAGATTCAAATTCAGCAGTTTGATTTCTGAGTGAGGCAGTTAGTTTTTCCATTGATATATATTCAGTGAGTAAGTTTTTACAATGTGCAATGTTGATGTTTTTTCTCGACTTCCAGTTCATGAGAACAAACGTCCAATAATGAACAGGCTGATTATATTAAGTTTCTAATATTGACAAAGCTAAACACACACACACAGACACTCTCACACACACACACACACACCACACACACACACACACACACACACACACACACACACACACACACACATACACACACACACAGACACACTCTCACACACACACACACACACACAGAAACACACACACTCTCACACACACACACACACACACAGACACACACACACTCTCACACACACACACACACACACACACACACACACACACACACACACACACAAACACACACACACACACACACACACACACACACACACAGCGCCAGCCACCACGCGCACCTGTTTTAGGTCTAGGAACTACTGCCTACAAATAATACAAAAAACAAAGGCCAGCAAATATAATTTTTTTACAATTTCTCAGTTTCCTGATCTGATGACATGATCGAATCTGTGACTTAAATTTGTCATTGATTAAACAAAACATAATGTCTTCTCAATTAAATGTGCTGTAACAGATGTGTACAGGACACAAAAACAAAATTTGTTATTTTGGCCGGTAAAGAAATATGTTTGGACGGTGAAGTTTTTCATCTACCTGCCACCTTGGCCGGTGAGTCAAAAAGTTCATTTTGGACCCTGCACAGGATCTTATCTCATTTCTTATTCGAGCAGTAGACAGGAAGTGTAAAGAGGTTGGTCGAGGTTGGCACTTCTTAGAATTTTGTGTATAGAGAAGGAAGTACAGAGACAGAAGTCCGAGAGAAACTCTGCTCTCACATTTTAATGAACTGTTACTTGTCTTTCTCCTCTTCTCCTTCTGCATTATTAGAAATGTAAAGTTAATGTTTTATTTTAAAACTAAGCGTCAGAGTTTCATTGTCGTTTTGGATGTGAAGATGGACCAAACCTTGCGTTGTGTGCTGGGGTTTTTCTGTGAGTACATCAGAGCTCTTTAAGTTTAGTGACTTTCAAACAGCGAGTCATGTTTCTATGAACATGTAGTTCAGCTGTTTGAATAATACAACAGGAGTTAAGCACTTGCTGTTTGTACAACATTTGAACAAGGCGTGAACAGTAAATAGTCGATAGTTTTGGAAAAAAAAAGCTTTAGGATTGAAATGGCTGCCAAACGTTTGTTGTTTTGTGAGAAATTCTGTTTATTGATGGATAGCCCCTTGAGATGAACCATCTCGTTTTTGAAAGTTTTGACAATAACAGTTACCTAAAATGAAACTCTATCTGGATTTAACACCTTTAATTCTTCCCTGATGAACTATTAATCTTTATTTTAGTGCTGAATTTGATCCCCCACGGATTGGCTCAAGGTAAGTGATTGTCTTATATTTCTGATTTTTGTTTTTTAAATGTTTCTGCAGTTCCTCTATTTATTACCTACTTCATCTCTTTAACATCATCCACATGTAGTGTTTTGTGTTTATGTATTATCTCTTAAGTTTTAAAAGAAAATGTCCTCGAACATGAACTGAAAATGTTTTTTTTAAGCTATGTATTTTAGTTTCCTCTTTTGACTCGACTCTGTCCTCACCATGGAAAGCTGCTGGTATTTCTAGAAACTGTTGTGACTCTGTAAGCTCTTATATCTCTTCAACAGCTGCTTCTTTTAACGCTGCTTTATACGTTACTTTAAAACCATTTACAACATTATTGTTGTGTCATTATTGTTACAGTTATATTGTACAGACATTTAAATCATTACAATAAGGATCATGGATGAAAACTGTAACATTTTCTATTTTTAGTTTTTGTTTCCAATCCTGTTTCTTTGTGATGTGAACAGGTAACCGTCCCCGTGTGACCACAACATCCAACTGGCCTGAAACATTCTGGTGAGACGCTCACTCTCAGATGTGAGATTGAGGGAGGTGGAGACTCTGAATGGACGTTTGTATGGAGAAGAGACAGAACATCCAGCTCAGAAATATACAGCAGACAATAAATACATTATTAGCCGAGCCACTGATTCTGACAACGGAGACTATGAGTGCTCAGGCAGAAGGGATCCCCTAATCCTACCGTCACGCCTTGGAGTGAACCCTTCAAATTGACTGTAACACGTAAGTTGAACCATGTTGTCAATAATTAAAATGTCCAGGTGGAAATGATTTCATCTAAATGAGAAAACAAAACATTGCTTGCTTAAAGTCTTTGCAGGGAGCTGTGACAAATTATTTTTTAACTTTCAGCATGGTAACAAAATAACTGAGAAACTTAAGACTATCACATCTTTTGTAATCTTCTTAAAATATGTCTTAATATGGTTTAAAACAGTGAATTTTGATGTCACTAACAGTGTCTGAATAATTTCTTATAAATATTGGCTAAGTTATTCACATTTGACAAAGAAGATGTTTGTTGATATTGATAGAGCTCTCCTAAGTTATGATTGCTGTGTCAAAGTGAGAAAAGTATCTCAGATCCTCAAACATGGGCCTCCTGGCTCCGCCTCCTGGCTCCGCCTCCTGGCCCCGCCTCCTTCCCGTTATAAACTTCGAGGCGACCGAGCCTTTGCAGTCAAGGCCCCACGGTTGTGGAACAGCCTTCCTCCCTCAGTCAGGGTCTGCCCCCTCTGTGGAGTCTTTTAAGTCACGCCTCAAAACACACTTTTACATGTTGGCTTTTGAGTCCTAATTAGGTTGCTTGTATTTCTTTCTGATGTATTTCTATCAAATATCATTTAATATTATAGTCTGATTATATTGTTAGTATTCTGTGTGTGCATTTGTGTTTGGGCACATATGTATGTGTGAGTTTTTGTCTTGTTTTTCTAAATGTGCTTTATGAATACATTTGATTGATTGATATTGTTTTATAAAGTGATACATGATTTGGATCTTTTCTGGAATTGAACTACTTTAAATTGAATATAATTTAAGAGATAAATCTTAACACTAGTTTCAGCTCATAATTCTTCAAGTCATTTTTACTTCTGGGCTCAGCACTGTTTGAATTTGACCAAATTGTAGGTACAGTAATTTACCTTTTTACATCTTTGTTTCCAAATCAAACAGAAATAATACCAAAGGCTGAACTGAGAGCTGACAGCACATCAATTCCAGCAGGGGGCGCTGTGACCCTAACCTGTGATGTGAACCCTCCATCACCTGGCTGGACGTACATCTTGTTCAGAGGAGATCACTCGGGCACACAAGATGATGGTAAAAACTTTAATGGACGAATCAGTGTCTCCAAGGGAGGAGTCTACTGGTGCAGAGGAGAGAGAGGAGAACCAGTTTACGACACAGAGTACAGTGATTCAGTCACTATCAACATCATTTGTGAGTTTAACATTTTTGTAAACTTGTAATAATATATTCTATCCATAAATTGATTGATAAAAAGACTAAAGATGTTATTTTTTCTCATCATTGTGTCCTTGTTGGGATCTCTTGAACACAAACAGTATCAAACAGAGCTGTTGTGACTCTTCAGCCCCATTGGACTGAGATACACAGCGGAGAGAAGATCACTTTGAGATGTGAAATCGAGGGTGGAGACGACTCTGAGTGGGAGTATGAGTGGGAAACAACCAGCTCTGATAGATCTGTAAGACAAAGTGAATCCTTTGAAATCACTGCTACTTCTTACAGTGAAGGAGAATACAAGTGTAAGGGAAAACACAAAACTGAGGTACTTTCTTCAACACAGTGGAGCACTCCAATCACATTGACAGTATCAGGTAAGATGGACTTAAAATCAACATGAAAACAGTTTTAGATGTTTGTTATGTTAAGAGAAACTATCATTCATATCTGAACAGTACTCAAATTGTGACTTTATTTCTTCATTGAGAAAGTTTTAGTGCAGATCACAGTGATTAAGTGTGTCTTTGGTACAATAAGTTTCATGGATGAAGTTCATGTGTATTTATTTCCATAAGGTATTTTATTAATGGCTATTTAAAGAAACAGTAATCTATTTTTATATCCCTGTTTTAAACTGAACAGAACAAAAACCAAAGCCTGAGCTGAAGGCTGATGTCACAGATATTCCAGTAGGAGGTTATGTGACCCTGACCTGTGATGTGAGCTCTTCATCTGGTTGGCAATACTACTTTTGGTACAGAGCAGATAAATCCTCTAACCCATCATCCATAAATGAATTCTCCTCGGCTGGACAAAAGCGTGTCTCAAAGGAAGGACTCTACTGGTGTAGAGGAGCGAGAGGAAACCCAGTTTACTACACAGAGTACAGTAATACAATTCAGTTAAAAGAAAATAGTAAGTTTTGCATATTGGCATTCTTTGGTGTAGATTTAAGGTTTTTTCATCTTTGTATACTTACTGTGAATTCTTCAACATTAGCGGTTGCAAACAAGGCTGTCGTGACTCTGCACCCCAACTGGTCTGAAATCTACTATAAAGAGTCGATTACTCTAAGATGTGAGATAAAGGATGGAGACGACGCTGAGTGGGAGTACGAGTGGAAAACAAGCAACTCATTCAAACCTCCAAAGGAAAAGGAATACAGTATTGGACCTGCTGATACATCACACAGTGGAAACTACAGTTGTAAGGGCAGAAAAAAAAGTGACCAGTCTCCAACAGGTTGGAGCGATCCCATCACATTAACGGTTTTATCCAGTAAGTAACATTTCTTTCATATAAACATTATACTGTACTATCAGATATTCCATCATTACATGGTTTTATTTCTTTGAATAATCACTTTTCCAACAGGTTCACCCCAGCCTGTCCTCACCGTGTCTCCACTCTGGCTGAGTCCTGGAGACTCTGTGACTCTGAACTGTGAGGTTAAACACCCATCAGCAGGATGGAGGTTCTACTGGTATGAAGCTATTCCCAAACTATCTGACAACTCCTACAACTCCTACAGCTACCAGCTGCTACCTGGAAGCAGAAATGGAACTGAAAAGTATTCCTTCATTGTTCATGGACAGACACACACAACAGGATATGTGTGCAGAGCTGGAAGAGGAGAAATTAACACTCCTTATAGTGAACCAAAGTTTGTCTGGTCTGGAGGTCAGTTTGTTTCTGTCTTTATCTTGAGATTAATATCTTTATTCAGTTTTGATCTATTAACAACATAGAGTTTCTTCAGTACTATTGTCTGTATTGTACCACAAACTCATTCCCTTGGTGAGTGGTTGTTGTTGTTTTTGGTAGCATGAAAAACACTAAAAGGAAGATTATTAGAGTCTATCACTTAAATAATCGTTCAATAAAAACATTTTACTTTGTATAATTAAGCATCTTATTGCTAATTGCTGACTCTCACATGTGAGGGCTTGTTTGATTAAAATAGTTGGTCAGTAATCAGTGGTATGTAGACACTATATGAAAAATCTAATTCAGCCATTCCTGATAAAACAGAATATGTACTAATGGAAAAGAAGGGAAAAAACCAAGCCACAGACTTGAAACACAAATAAAAAGTAAGAATGCAACTACTCATGGAGAAACATCGTTATGAAATGCTAATCCTTCATATCTTTGAAAAATCACAGGTCAAAGAAAGTCTTTCAATTTATAGACAGAAGCAAGGGTTCCTTGGTTGTCTATCTTAATTAAATATAAAGTCTAATGGCAGCTAACTGTAGTTGTCTGTTCTTTTTTAATCTTTGGACTGCTGGGCTTTGTTGAACCTCTTGTTTCTTTCCTTCTTCTTTAGATTTGCCTTCATCAGCATCTCTCACAGTGAGTCCTGAAAGAGTGCAACACTTCACCTCTGATTCTGTCTCACTGGAGTGTAAGGGGAACTCTACTCAGTGGAGAGTGAAGTTTCAAAGGGACAGCTTCCTGGCAGATTGCTCCCTGAGGGATACAATGACTGGATCAACATGCACAATAGAGGAAAACAGATTGAGAAATAATGTGTACTGGTGTGAGTCTGGATCAGGGGAGTTCAGCAACGCTGTCAACATCACTAAACAGAGTATGTTTTTATTACATTTCTTCTTAAAGTTTTTATCTTTCAGCATCCAAGTATTCAATTCAACATCATTCAGTTCCACGTTATCTCCATCGACATTGAGAAGTAAAAGAGCAGCCCAGTGTGGGAGAGTTTACTCTCTTAATTAGATAAAAGCAAAGATTAAGGTCTGAGTGTATATCATTATTAAATACTGATCACATTTGTAGACAGTTGCTGTTCAAACACATTTGATGCCAAAGTCTTAAACATAAGAAGGAGTAAGGTGCACACAAGATAACACATCAGATTAATCATCACTTTGAAGCATTGCTGTAAAAAAAGAAGAAATATATTCTCATCATTCTGTGTCTGCTAATTTTCATGTTTGAACCTGATGACCTCTGACTGAATCCTCTTTTCTTTAACTGTTTTACAGAGTATGATATTATCCTGGTGAGCCCTGTCCATCCAGTGACTGAAGGAAGTTCAGTTAGTCTTAGCTGCAGATTGAGAAGCCCAGATATTGTTTCCAATGTGTTCTTCTATCAGAATAACAAACTCATTCAAAATGATACCAGAAAGGAGCTTAATATCTCTGCTGTGTCAAAGTCTGATGAGGGCTTCTACAAGTGTCAGACCTCAGGGAGAGAGTCGTCTCAGAGTTGGATGTCAGTAACAGGTGAGTGGGATAGTCAGGGAGATACCCCGTGCCCTCTAAAGTAATGTACATACTTTCATGCACTAATGTTAAACAGACATTCTTGAAGTAACATCAAGCCGGCTTAGAGGCCTGTGTTAACGTTAGCTTAGCATGACTAGCCACCAATACTTGGGTGTGACTGACAAAATCATTTCAAACATTTTATTTTCAAGCAACAAAAAAACTCATGGACCTTTTTTTTTTTTTTTTTTGCATTAAAACACTTTATTCAGTGTTACACATGTCAAATATATCTTGTTAGTCCTCTGTTGCTCCATATCCTGGCTTGCACTCCTCTTTCTCAACCAGGAACTGCCAGACAGAGCTTCTTCTTCTCATGAATTTCTGGCAGGCTGAAAGCTACAAGGCGTAATGCTGCCCTCTGCTGTAATTCAAATGAATTGATCCACTTTGGGTTCAATTCTCAGACATAGTCCAGTGGTCCTCAAGCAATTCAAAGTAGCCCTACCGACTAGCTGAAGTCACTTCCAAAAGATAGCCAAACAGAGATGAAGCCTGCCTTTGGCTTATATGGGGGTGTGCCAAGTGGAAGGCGCCAAGTTAGGCAGAGGTGGAGGGATGTTTAGGTTGTTGAGAATAATTATGATTTGTAAAAAAAAAATGGTGGTTTAAGAATTTACTTAAAGGAATCGAAACTTGGCATTGTTTAGCGCTGAGTCGCGTCTTTAGTTTGTCACTTTTTACATTCTGTTATTTACTTATTTCTTGCTAGTTTTATTTGTTATTTTTTACATTTTTCTCCAGGCCTGTACTGTACATATTGCTGCACTTTTTTTTTTCATTGTGAAAAAATTCACTTGGACTGAATTTTTGATTTTTTTTTCTTTCTTTAGCCTAAGCCACTTTCCCATCCTTACAAAGATACAAATTACTGAATGATTTTATGTAAACCATGTTTTGTCTGAAAAAGAAAAAGGTCAAATACACCATCTAGTTGGAAGTAACCACACTTTAAGTGATTGACCTTATTGATTCAATAATTTAGTGTTGAATGAGTAATTTGGTTAAATCCTGGATTGCGATAAAATGATGTATTCATTGTAGACTATTTTCTTTACACATGTTTGTGTTTTGTCTTCACCGTTGCTTGAGACAACATGACAAAACATTTAATTATCATTGTCTATAATCTTAAGAAGTGTTTTATAAGTTCATTAACAGTTATTTGTTATTAGTTGTAGCGGTGTCCAGGCTTGGGAACCCTTCATATCCTGTAATTCTCGTGATTGTCGGGCTGATTTGTGGAGTAGTACTTATAATTCTTCTGCTCCTGTTGTATCGCTGCAGGCAGTCAAAGGGTGAGACCTTTATTTAATATTTTTCTCTTACACATTTGATGGTTTATTCCAAATGTTTGACATGAAATGGTGGCAAACTAAAAGAACAACACAATGTCTTTTTTACAGATTCATGCCTTATCAGGTTGGTTCAGTGCTCTCTTGTGTCTCATTTTGAACATTACATTAACACTTTGCCATTACGTCCAATGTTAACACCTTTTTATTTACTCAATGTTGTAGGTCAATCCAGTCTGAAAGCACCAACCAGGACTCGGCCACAAATCCGGCCGCTCAGCATCATGAATACTCATCTCCCCTGCAGGGTAAGCATTTGAATTAATCATAAATATTTATATGTAAGAACACCTTTTATTTTAAACATCCAAAGATACAAAGTGTTATCGTGCAGTTAGCTCGATTGATTTGATCTCCATTGCTCTTTAGGTGACGCGTGTCATTATGAATCAATCAAAGGCCCTGAAGACACCGCACATGGTACAGTTTATTCTTTTTCTAATACTGAAAATGTTCCAACAAATGCAAAGGTTTTCTTTTAAACGACACAATTACGTTTGCTTTAGGAATGCAAATTAGGCAATCAGTGCAATGTATAATATTTCTTAAATTGAGCAATGGTGTCCTGCTTAACTGGTTGGTGCATCATGTATAATTCATTTGTAGTTGCGCTATGAACAATGCCACTTCAGAGGGTGAAGGCAAGTTTCATCATCCTTTTGCTAATGTTTAAGTGTGTTAGACTTATTCAGCCTCTCTTTAGAGACACATACATCTTGTTTATTGCTTTAATGTTACTTTGTAGTTAGATTGACTTTCCATGGATGAAGAAGCTAAATGATCACTGAAACTTAAGGTTAAAATAGTTGGTCTGATTCTGCATCCATGTGCTGGTCCCAGTTTCCGAGTTGTGAAATCGCTCTTCCAGATTCAGTGTGTTCACGTGATTTCAGTTCGGAAAGTTTGAATGTTGTAAGAATTACAAAGAAAGTATGGACGCTACAAAGATGTGTGAATGTCTCTGTTATGAGTTATATTTGAGCCAAACGTTGATGTACAATTTGTGACTTACCGGTAATAAAAAGTGTCTTAACATTAACAAAACATATTTTGCCCCCCATGTGATGACGAATATGACCACAATTCGACAAGTCGTAATCAAATCTTTTCCAGAGTTTTTTCCGAGTTGTTGCTCCGACTTGAGCAGGCGTTCATGTACGTTTTACAACTCGGAAACTCGTTTTCCAGATGTGTCCGATACCACATGAATGCACCATTAAACCTCCAATCAAAAACTGCACTGAACATGCTTCACCATGTACATTTTACTTTGAAGGGAACTGTTCCTCTTTCTTGCTTTTGACTCTTTTTTTGTAATATTCCATAATACTTTTTTAATAGTGGAACTAACCAACATTTAGTGCTGCATGTCTTCACAGGGTTATGGCAACGATTGCTTGTGAAACACTTGCACAAACTTAGTTTTGGCTCAGTGAAACCAGGACAATGATGTCAGCCAATACGCTCTAAACTGTTTCCTGAAATAGTTTCCGACTGTAGATGAACTGTAGTTTATGCACGGCCCAGAATGTTTGTGGATAACAAAACATATATTTCAGATGCAAACCACTCCCAGTCCCAGGATGTTACATATTCTCTGATCGAGCTCAGAAACATCGGAAAGAAAGGTAAGTATTTCAATAAGATACAGTAGAAAAAGTACTGAAGTGTTTTTACATTCATTCGGCTCATTTGTTATGTCTTATAGGGAAGAAACCTGAACCAGACAGCACGATTTATTCTGATGTGAGGTTAGAAACAGAAGGTAGGTTACAGTGCTGCTTTAAGTTGATGTTAAAATGCATCATGGTACACACTGGTGGAGATAATGGGTCAGCTTGCAGTTCAGTAATTATTCTAAATATTTCCACTGGGTGTCAAAAGAGACAAAATTTGTCAAATGTTAGCTAAATTTTGGGCATTTATTCCTGTGACTGCTCAGTTTGGTTGTTTAAATTAACGTATGTTGGATGCATTTTATTGTCGGATCGTCATGTGTTTTAAGAACATTTCCATCTCACAGATTAAGTATTAAGATGGATAGTTTTGGTCCAAACAAAAGCAAGAAGAAGAAACATTCGCTGAGCTGCCATAGTGATAACACATAATCTGTACAGTCATCATAGAAACTCAAGTGTTTCTACATTTTTCTTTCTCAATCCTTCAACCCGTCCATCTGTACATTACAAATTCAGTCTACAAAGAAAACCAATCCTAAAATCTGTCTTTTGTTTTAGATCCATCTGTCCTTTATTCTCAAGTCAGCTGCCATAATCCAGGTAAAGCCAAGAAAACAAAGGTGAGTGAAGTAAGCAATCAACTGCAGTTTTTCTTCTCCAACTCTTTTAGTGTTTTTTCTTTCGAATCGCAGGTGATGAAAGCTTTTATTGTTAATATTAACCGTCAGGTGTTCTTACATTAAAGGTCCAATATGTAGAATTTAATTACAATGTTTACGTTGAAATATCTAAATTAATAAAAAATTGATTAAATTGATTAGCAGAGAGAACTCATGATTCCCTGCCAGCACCAACGTCATCTTTTATTATTGTTTTGATTGAGCGCCCCCGGTGGTGGAATCTGCATACTGTGCCTTTAATACATCTGAATTCTGCATTTGTTTAGATGTGTTGCTTCTGAACATTTTGCATACTTAGGCAACTTTAATGCTTAAAGATGATGCTGAAATCAGTTTATTGGCTAAGGGGGGAAGGGTTAATGGCT